CAAAACTGACTTTCTTGGGCTCTTTGATCTTCAATTAACGTGGGTCTTTAGAAAGTTATTTTTTGTTTACTCTACGTCACAGGAATATAATAAGGAAATTTATAAAACCCAATTAATTTGAATCGAAATGTGAATGAGCCCTGTGTGGATGTTGCAAAGCCACAAGGGGTTAAATTGTACCCAGGTTTTGGAGAGGAGGAAACAGTGCTGAGCTTCCAGAGGCCCAAGATTCCTATTGATGGTTTTAAGTGTTGGGTTTTTTTTTTTTTTTTTCTTTTTCAGTTTTGTTCTTGGAAAAGGCGGTGAATTCCCGTTTTGAATTCACTCTGCATACATTTCTGATTGATTTTTGTTTGTCTAGAGACTCCGGGATTTGCCAAGTCTCCATCAATAAACTACAGAGGATTTAGGGAAGAGGTAATTAAAGAGGCTGGAGCCAGTGAGGAAAGGGGCAGACGGGGCAGGCAAAATGGAGATATTGAGCTGTCCCCAGCCTGGAGGGAGGGGGCTGCAGTTACAGGAAGTGCCCAGGGAGGCGGCCACCAAAGGGTTTGCTGGGGTAAAGCTCTGTCCAGCTGGAGCCCTGGGAAAGCCTGAACTAAGGGCTATGTTAAAGCACAGGAAATTGGAGTCGGGAAACTTCATTTTTGAGTCCTAGTTTTGAAAGAGAGATTACTTAATTTGAGACTTTGGACGAGTCCCTTAACTTCTTTGCTTCCTCATTTGTGAAACAGAGGTAGCACAATTTGGTCCTAGCAACCCGGTGGGACAGTCAGCTCAAGCAAACGTCTGCTGAGTGGGACCTTGTCACCTGGCCCCGTTGGCCCCGGATGACAGCCAGGACTGGGACCAGAGACTTGAGGCCTGCTTCAAAAGGAAGAGCTGCACCATCAGATTCACCCTGAGTATGGGAACGGCAACCAGGACCATTGCTAGTAGTCTCTCGACACTGGTAGAATGGAGGGTGGAGGCCAGGCAGGGCCGTTTGCAAGATGAAGAAAGAAAGGGAAGCAGAGAGAGAGAACGCAAAGACAAGATGCCCTCCATCCTGCTCCACTCTCCAGTTCCAGCTTACACGGAGCCCGTGGAAAGCTCTTCCCTCTCCTCTTTTCCGTGAGACATCAGCATTCTTGCCACAGCCTCTGACTTTTCAATTTCTTGAACCTTTCTGAGCTAGGCCCCCATGGATGAGTGGCTGATGTCAGGGGCTGAGATCCAGGCTACAGACCCAGAGCTCTAACTCCCCTGGGGCACCATGGGCCTTTCACCTTCTTCAACTCCCCAACCTGAAGCCACCTCTGAGTCTCTGGCTCAGTGATGCTCATTTTTTCCTTCTCGTTGTCCCCATCCCCACCCCCAGAGCAGCCCAGGAGAGCAAGACTTGTTGGCTCTCCTCATGCTCTGCAGTTCCTGGTGACACCTGGCACACAGCAGGCCTCACGTATGAGGGCTGGGTGATGCCGTTCAGCTAACCACTGAAATTGCTGGAAACTGCAGTCAGCCTCAGCTCTTCCTCCTCCCTCACACTCTGCTCAGGCACAACTTTCAGATGTTTCTGCCGTCAGTCCTCTCTTCCCCATCCGCTTTTCCACGGCCCCGTAACTTCTCACCTGGTGGGTACAACAGCCTCCTGTGCTCCCCCTGCTCTCAGGCCCTGGGGGATCCCCGGGGCACCCACACTCTTCAGTGCTGCTAATCTTGACCTCAGCTCAGCACTCTGCGCCCTGGAGCAGTGCCACGCCCACCTCTCCAGCCTCACTTGCTTCACTCCTGGCTTTTCCCTTTCTGCTGCAGCAACAGAGCTGTTTGATGCTGAAAGGACTCACCTCCCCGCCTCTGTCCCCACTGTCCCTTCTCCCTAGAAGGCTGCACTCTCCTGTCACCTCACTAACTCGAACTCATCACACTCAGCCAACTCATCACACTCTAACTCATGGAATTCAGCACAGCCACTGCCTCCTCCTAGGGGAACTGGGCTTCTCCAGGCTGGTTTCAGTGTCCTCTTGTGGGTTCCCAGAATCCCTCGTGTTTCTGTCTTATGAGAGCATCTGCCTCTTGATCCTGTGTTGTTCACTTGGCTGTGTGCCCCTTGAGATGGTAACAAATAGCTCGGCACTTCCTATGAGTGCCAAGAAGTTTTGTGACTATTTGGGGCTGGCACAGTGGCTCACACGTATAATCCAGCACTTTGGGAGGCCAAGGGGGAAAGATCACTTGAACCTAGGAGTTGGAGACCCTGTCACTATAAATAATAAATTTTTAAAAAATCCAAAAAACTAGGTGAGTGTCATGCTGTGTGCCTGTAGTCCTAGCTACTTGGGAGGCTGAGGCAGGAGGATTATTGAAGCCCAGGAGGATTTTTGGTTGTTGTTTGTTTGTTTTTAAACATTTTATTTCATTTAAATTTTTAAATGTTTATTGATTTTTGAAACTGTCTCACTCTGTTGCCCAGGCTGGAGTGTAGTGGCATGATCTCAGGTCACTGCAACCTCCACCTCTTGGATTGAAGTGATTCTCATGCCTCAGTCTCCCGAGTAGCTGGAATTATAGGCGTGCACCACCACGCACAGCTAATTTATATATATATATATATATATATATATATATATATATATTATATATATATATTTTTTTTTTTAGACAGAGTTTCACTCATGTTACCCAGGCTGGAGTGCAATGGCGCAATCTCGGCTCACTGCAACCTCCGCCTCCTGGGTTCAGGCAATTCTCCTGCCTCAGCCTCCCAAGCAGTTGGGATTACAGGCACCACCATGCCCAGCTAATTTTTTGTATTTTCAGTAGAGACGAGGTTTCACCATGTTGACCAGGATGGTCTCGATCTCTTGACCTCGTGATCCACCCGCCTCGGCCTCCCAAAGTGCTGGGATTGCAGGCATGATCCACTGCACCTGGCCTAAACATTTTATTTCATTTAACACAACACATCCCAGTTTTACTTTAAATATATTTTTCAAAATATTTAATTTTCTGATTATTATTCTTTTTCTTTTAAAACTTTTCATTTAGATTCAGGGACAAATGTGCAAATTTGTTATGTAGGTAAATTGTGTGTTACCGGGGTTTGGTGTGTAGATTATCTCATCACACAGGAATAAGCATACTGCCCAGTAGGTAATATTTCAATCCTCACTCTCCTCCCATCCTCAAATAGGCCCTGGTGTCTGTTGATTTCTTTTTTGTGTCCATGTGTACTCAGTGTTTAGATTCCACTTAAAAGTTAGAACATGTGGTATTTGGTTATCTGTTCCTGCATTAGTTTGCTTATGAAAATGACCCCCAGCTCCGTCCATCCTTGCTGTAAAGGACATGGTCTTGTTCCAGCTCCTTCGCATCCTTGCTGCGAAGGACATGGTCTTGTTCTTTTTTAGGGCTGTGTAGTAGTCCATGGTGTGTATGTACCACATTTTATTTATCCAGTCTACTGTTGATGACCATTTAGATTGATTACATATCTATGCTATTGTGAGTAGTGCCGCAGTGAACATACATGTGTGTATGTCTTTATGGCAGAACCATTTATATTCCTTTGGGTATATAACCAGTAATGGGATTTCTGGGTTGAATGGTAGTTCTGTTTTAAGTTCTTTGAGAAATCACCAAACTACTTTCTACAATGGTTGAACTAATTTGTATTCCTACTGGCAATGTATAAGCATTCCTTCTACAACCTCACCAGCATTTGTTATTTTTTGACTTTTTAATAATAGCCATTCTGACAGTATGGTATCTGATTGTGGTTATGATTTGTATTTCTCTAACAATCAAAGTGAAGCCCAGGAGTTTGAGGCTGCAGTGATCCAAGATGGTGCCACTGCACTCCAGCCTGGGCAACAAACCAAGGCCTTGTCTCTAAAAAAATAAAAATACACATTTGGAAGCAGACAGCTCTGGGTTTAACACCTGCTCTGCTCTTTTCTAGCTGTGTGACTTTGAGCAAATTGCTTAACCTCTTTAAGCCATAGCTTCTTCACCGCTATGATGGATATCACAGTAACACCCACGTCACAGGGTTATGGGGGAAACTAAAGGCAGTGATGATGTAGGCTCCTTAGCACCATGCCTTGCTTGTAGCATCACATTAGATGCTAGCACAACTAAGAAAAATATGTCCACATGCTGCTGGGACGGGGTGAGGGAGGTCTCCAAACATCAAAACCACATCTGCTATTCCAAGGAGGAATTAAGAAGTCTTTTAGAAAACAGCCACTGCCAAATCTTCCTTAAGTGTTCCTTCAGGGAAGTGGGGGAACTTGTTAAGAAACCAGGAACCCCGCACAAACTGTGACTGAGATTTTAAAGTGAAAACTGAAACGTTTAAAAGAACACATAGATCTCCGGGGGCGGGGGAAGATGGGGAAGACTTGCTCACGTTAAGGGCCTGGAGGGGCCGGTGGCCACAGGTAAAGGATGCAGTGTGGCACTTGCTGGATGGAGGCAGTGCAGGATGGAGAGTCAGAGTCACCGTCGAGCTTCCTTCTGGAACAGGCGCCACACCTCCAAGGCAGTCAGGTTACCTGGGCACCCTGGAAACGGCGCTCCCCAACTTGTGGCGTTGGCCCTGGAAATACTGGTAGAAGGCAGCAAGTGGATGTTTTCACACACCCTAAAGTGTGCGCGATCGGCAGCGGCTGCCCAGAGAGGTTCCCAGAGAGTGGGAGTAATCCCCGAGGAACACGGAGCAGGCTTGGTTGCCCCCACCCCTACCTTAGTCGCCCCTCCAGGAAGGCTTAGGGCCAAAGCGCGCTGGCTCGGGAGTCAAGCGGGAGGCGCTCTAAGCCAGTCTGGACCTCCTAGCTGGGACCTGAGTCTCCCCCTCCAGGCATTGGGTTTGCAGCGGGGTGGAGGGGTGGGGTTGGCGGGGGCGGACAGTCTTGGAGTCCCACCCAAGCCCGGCCCCCCGGAGCCTCCCCCAGAGTTTGGGAACGTCCCAGTCTCACTCCCTCCCGCCGCCCCCGGAGCCGGAACGTGAAGGGAGTGCCAGGCGGCCGGGGGCGGCGAGCGGGGCCGAGGGTGCCCACCGACTCCAGCGCCGACGGTCAGCCCCAGCGGGCCGGAGTTCTCCAGCGCCGGGACAGGGGCGTGTGGGGCGCGCCCTGGCAGGGGCCTTGTCCCAAGACCCGGGGCGCGGCGGCCCGGCCAGGAGGTCCGGCCGCGAGCGTGACCTCACGGGGAGGGGCCAGCGCGGCGGCCTGGGCGCGGAGCCGACAGCCGGGAGAGCAGCGCCGGAGCCGAGCGGCGAGGAGCGCACTCCGTGGCTCCGATGGAGCGGTACAAAGGTGAGTGCACCGGGTCCCCGCGCGGCGCGCACCCGTTCCATTTCGCCCAGCACCGCGGAGGGCAGGGCTAGGGCTGGTCTGGCTCGGACTCGGGTTGAGCAGAGCTGGCCCAGCCGGGACCTGGGCGGAGGAGGGGGCGACAGTAGCGCCGAAGAACAGGCGGGTGGGCTCCTAGGTGGTGGCCGCGGCCCGAGCCCTTTGATCCTCCCGGGCGCTGAAGGAGGGGGTCGTCAGTGGGGGGGCGTGGCGGGGCTTCTCACCTGTTGCAGGAGAGGGGGTGCGCCCGGCGCCGCACTCCACCCTCAGTCCCGCCGCGCGGGAGAGATGCCTGGGGCCGAGGAACCCCCGAAGAACGTGGGAACCGTGCCGAGCTGCTGGGGGCAAAGGGGCGGGCTGTTGGGTCCTTTCGCCCTGGCGCCCGCCGGGCTGGGGGCTTCCTGCTCTGGGCAAAGCGCTTGGACAGTAGAGTGGGCGCGCAGACCCGCTCCGGGCTAGGTCGGGTCTCCCCATACGTCCAGCACTTCGGGTCGCCGTTTCTCTCCAACCCCTTCTCTGCTCCCCCACCCTAAGAAAGGAGAGATGCGAGGGTTGGGGGCCGAATGGAGTGCCCGGCAGGTGGAGCTCCTGGAGGCGTCCCGGCCGCTGGGCTTAGCTCAGTGCGCAGCTGGGCGAGCTTTGGGTTTGGCGGTGGCCAGGATCTCCTCCAAACCCTGGTGGGCGGGCCGTCCTGGATGCCCCCAGTGCTCAGCTTAGCACCCGCACTCGGAGGCTGGGAGCTGGCCTACAAGTCTCCATTGCCGTTCTTTTGAAAAGGGAGTACAGGGAGTGCGGGCGCTCCCCCCTCCTCCCTCCCCCGCAGACCCCTTCCCTTTAGAAAAGCCTCTTGCCTTCTCTGGTGCTGGAGCGGTCTCCGCCAAACCTGCGAGAGGAAATGCTGCTTCTATATTTGTTTTCCCCTGGGAGAGAGTAATAAAAAGAGAACGCTCAGATTCCCAAGGAATCTCACTCCCGGCGGGCCCTGATCCCTGCAACTGACATAAAGGGACCTGTTGGGACCGGCCTCATTCCCGGCAGCAGTCCCGTCTTTCACTTTCCTATTGCCTTTCCTCATCTGGTTCGCCCGGTTACTGTTGAAGACGAAAGATCCAAGTCCCAGGCAGAGCTTCACAGATTCAGGAAGGGGCTTTGCTGACAGCAGGGAGCCCGCGGGGGGTGGGGGATGGGGGGTGGGGGGTTGAGGAGGGGGACAGGGTCAGAGGAGTTGGCCACCTTTGATTTCTTTCTGCGAACCCTTCCTGAAGCCTCTCTCGAATTTCTAACTCAGTGATTTTCTTGGTCTCAGATTCTGCTGGGATCACGTCAGTTTTGTGCTTGAATGACTGAATGCGCACTTACGCTGTCTGGGGCACTTGAGGAAGCCACAGTGCAGCTCCTGGTAACAGGGCAATTTGCACTCCCTCCTCCACCGGGGGCCCTCCGCCCTTTGGGAGGGACCCTCTCTGGGAATTCAGGCCTTGAGTTGAGCCTACCGGAAGTGTTGGCCTCTGGGGTGCCTTCCAGCTCCCTGACTTGCAAAGCTAGGGTATGTGTATGTGTGGGGGGGTGGTGTTAGCTGTAGGTTGCAAGCTACTTTCTCAAATCAGCATATTAATCTCTCTAAATCAGGGCAGATCACACTTGGGGTCTTCTTCCCAAATGTCCAGTTGTTCTCAGAAGGCTTTTGTACTGACAGCTTTTGACTTGGCCCTTGACCTGATGAAAGTCTTCTTAGTTATCTTTCTCTCTCAGGAGCTTTAAATCCTCCCATCCTGGAAGAGGATCAGTTAGGGGCTTTTTGCCAACTGAAAGAAACTTAGTTTCCAGTTCAGGGTGTTTATGTTTTTGGTAACACATGTATCTGCCTCATCATTTTGCAGTAAATCAGACAGAGTGGTAAGTGGGTAAACTTGAGAATTACCTGTGTTTCAGAGGCTAATCCAACTCAAATTCCGGTGTTTGATTCATGAGAAACATCTTTATTTTGTCTCACTCGTGTCATGCTGCTAATATGTTTACTACACCTTTCACTGAGGAATTTGGGGATTCCTGCAGCCCCAGGATATAGAATTCCCCATTTCCCTGAGAGGCAGATGAGTTGCACTTTGAACACCCTTTAAATGGAAAAGTTCATCTGTGCAAAATGAAGCCCATCTCTGCTGGGATCATGTCAGTTTTGTGCTTGAATGACTGAATGCGCACTTACTGAGGAAGCCACAGTCCAGCTCCTGGTAACAGGGCCCTTTGCACTCCCTCCCTGACCGAGGACCCTCGGCCCATTGGGAGGGACCCTCTCTGGGAATTCAGGCCTTGAGTTGAGTCTGACTGGAAGTGTTGGCCTCTGGGGTGCCTTCTAACTCCCTGACTTGCAAAGCTGGGGTGTCTAGTCAGTGTAATTGACTAAAATCAATAGTCTGGCTTGTGGGAGATAGGGGCACTTTTTTAAAGTTATTAGAATAACTAGGTATAGCGGTTTAAACAACAAAGTTAAATAGAAAAAGCAAGGTTTATTTACTTGGGCTCTTAGAACCTAAGTAAAAACTGTAAAGAAAAATTCTTATTATGTGTGACACTTTTTAAATGTGTTATTTAAATGCCTCTTCATTCTGTTTCTGTATTTCCAATTTTGAGCTCTCCCTCTCCTAGGTAGGTGGAAATGCCTTGTGGCTGTCTTCAGAGTCTCAAAATGTTTTCTCTAATATGCAAATCTTATAAAGCAGTTCATGTAGGAGAAATTGTCTTGCCATGTTCCTTAGCCTGCTTGTTATATATTGTACATCCTCCAAAAATATCCTTTCATTTTTAGGCTCTGAGTGGATTTTCCATTGTCTTGCAGGAAGAAAGAGAGGTCTGGAGCTGACGGGTGGTTGGAATATCACCCTATGTCTAATGCAGAGACACTTCCAGACTTTCTTCCCTGTCTCTTCCAAGATTTCTGCTAGATAGCCATGGCTCGCCCAAGCAAAAATAAGGGATCATGGAGTATGTGGGAATCCCTTCCTAGAGAGATGGTGCTTTTATGAGAGTTGCCATAAATAGCGATGGTAAAGTGGCTGTGTCTTGTATATGAATCTCTTTGGTGTTGTATAAGCAGTAAGACTCTTGCAAATGTCAGGATGTGGGGCCAAGTCCTACAGGGTGCTTGAGAAGGTTCCCATCCTTACGTGTTTACATATTTATGACTCTCATAAGGGCATCCTTTTATTGCTGTGCATGAGCCCATTGGCTGAACTCATCCAGTGTGGTCACGTATTCTGGTTCTAACTGCTCTCCCAGCTGGTGAGTGAGTCTGGGCCAAATGTGACTGACCTACTATCTGTGGATTGTGCTTGGAACATCCATGCCGAAGCTTCCTGAAATTGCATCACACTTGGCTACAGATGGGCCTGGTTGAGATATTCAGCTTCAATTTTGATCACAGTAATTGGTTCAAAGTGTAATCGTTCTTTGTCTGTGTTCTTTTGTTTCTGAATCTGATCATCCAGTCCCCCCACTTAGCTGTAGGGCGCTGGAGGAAAATATGAACTACAAAGAAGCCAGTAAAATACTTCAAAGCTTGTATGGGAATCCTGAGATCTGTGGTGAGGGAAGGTCTGAAAAAGAAAAGCAAGTTAAAAGAGATGGGCATGCTACTTTCAGGAATCGTTAATGCCTACAAACTCAGAGTTTTTTCCTACCTAAGTTGTACCTAAGGCAGCAGTTCTAAACCTTTGCTGTGCCTGGAATCATCTGCAGAGGTTTCAAAAATATGGATGTAAAGGCCCCACCCAAGACATTCTGATTGAACTGGTCTAGGGCACAGCTTGGGCATTGTATTTTTTAAAGGTCTTCAGGTGATTCCAATGTGCAGCCAAAGTTGGGAACCAAGTTTCCTTTTTTAAAAAAATGAAATGTCAAAATAGCAAAAAGATCAGTAATTGTATATACACTTTCCTTACCTGGAAAAGTAAGAGCAAGTGTGGGGTGAAAGGGATAGCCCCCTTCCCCATACCCACATGATGTGCCTTAACCAAATCTTGTAATACCTGCAGAAATCTGCTGTAATCACCTTCAGCTATTAGAGGCTTTAAAAGGCTATGGGAATGTTGCTTAAAAACGATGTCAACTGTGGTGCTTAAAATCCTAAGCTCAGGGTTTGCTCCTTGTACTTGACCCTGAGCTCCCTGACTTTGAAGTTGCGTGGGAGCCTTGGATGATGTGGCAATGAAATGGTCTGAAACAGAAATTCTGAGAGGTCACTTTTGGTGCTGAAAGGCCAATTCTGCTTTGGGCCCTTCCTCTCATCTGAGGGGTGGGAGCTCTGGGAGCTGGGCTGGTTCCAGCACAATTAAAGGGCCGGGAAGGGCCAAAGAGCTTCAAAGCTGAGGAAGCTGTGCTAGTTTCCTTCCAATTCCCTTTAATAATGGGAAATGTTTCTTTAAAGGCTTCTGTCATTCAGAGAAGACAGACTTTCCCCAAGCTAAGGGAGAATGGCTTGTTCTGTGCAGAGCCCTGGCTGAGACATGAAGGCAGCCATGGTGCAATGGAAAGTAGCAGCTCAGGAACCTGGAGACCCATGGGTTCCATTTCCGTGGGCAAATTGCTGAGCTCTCCAGGCCTCAGTTTCCCCATCTGGAAAATAACCTCTAGTCTTCGTAGTGTTCCTCTATCTGACTTCCCAATGGCTCTTCGATGCTAGTTCTGTGGTCACTGAGGAAACTGTGGAGGGAGGATGTGTCTTGGGGAGGAGAGTGAGGGGAGGGAGGGAATGTGGGTGGGTAGCCCAGCAAAGGTCAGTTTAGGATTGTGATTTTTATAAATAAAACCAATTTCCTGTTGAGAGCTGGAGTGCAGCAGACTCAGTGGGAAAGAGAATACCATAGGCCATGTGCGGAATTTGTTTCTCAAGGACTTTTGTGTGACCATGCCTCCAAAAATTCTTCATTGACCCCAGAGCCACCCTCTGAAACACAGAGCATTATTCACTCCCATTTGAGAGATAGGTCAACTGAGGCCTACAGAGATTAAGCAACAGTTCACACAGTCAGAAATAGAATATAATATCCCTAAGAACTGAGTCTCTAAAGGGTAGAATTCCTCTTCAGGATTTATTTAGGAAAGAAGTACTCAAAGCATTTCAGATTCATTCCTTATCAGTTGTCCTTCAGCTAGGAAGGGACTAGCTGCTCAATTAAACTCCTCGATCTTCAGGACCTAGCTCACATGTCTCTTCAACCAGGAAGCCTCTCCGACTCCCACTGTGTGCCCTCATTACTCTTGGGTTAACCTCATTAATGCCTAGCACATCGCAGGTGTGCAACAAATATTTGTGGAATTAATTTCACATTGTCTAATAATTGTCCGTGTCTATGTTTGTTTCCCTGCCAGGCTGAACTCCTTCAAGACAGGGACTTTGTCTTTCCTCTTCTTATGCCTCTCTCCAGCCCCTGGCACACTGCCAGCTGCATAGTAGGTGTCTGGGACATGATTGGGGAATGGGGGAATGAACACATTCCAGGCAGAGAGATCACATATTCTCCCATGCTCTAGTTCTGGAGAACAGGCCTGGTTCCCAAAAAGAAATGAAGCAAAATCTCAAAGGCAAATTCCAGAAATGGAGATGAAAGCCCACAGTGGCCACCCTTGGCTTTCCCGACTTGAGCCTTATTTCTGTCTGTTCCAGCACAGGGGTGTTGCTGTCTGGTGGTACAGAGAAGGATCCGGCAGGTTTCTGCATGTGAGTATGAGCCTCTCTGTGCCCTCTGCAGCAGCTCACCTGGCGACCAGGGCTCCCGAGGGTGCAGACCTGGCTCCGCCCATGCTCTGGGTGGATGGTCGAGGGGGATCATGGAGCTGGGCGGTGGCCTGGGCACTCAGGGGCTCAGGGTTCTAATCTGGCTTTTGCCACTAACTTGCTATGCGACCTTGGGCAAGTCAATTAATCTTTCTGAGCCTTGTTTCCTCATCCGTATGAGTGAGGATAATGATTACTAATCTATCTTGCAGGCCGCTTGGTGGAATAACTTGTGAGAGCTCTTGGTAAAGACTTTGAGAAAGGGAATGGTAAATTAATGCAGGGGAGCAGATACCCAGAAACCTCTGGTATGTGGTTCTGATCCCACCAGTTCCTGCCCTCTCCCAGTTCATTTGGGCTCTGCCCACTGCGTACTTTTCAATGCTGTTGGGAGGTCTAAGTCAGGGCTTCCCAGCCTCTAGGCATCCTAGCTTCTCAGAGGTAGCATCTGTGTATTCTTCATGTCAGTGGAGAAAGGGATAGGCAAGGAATTGCTCATTCCTTATGTGCAGAGCCACATCCTGGTCCTGCCTGACTTTTTTCTGATGTCTCAATAAGTCCATATAGGAGAGACCCTTAAAATCAAATAGTAGCTTTGAGCCCTTTACTAATTTTCTATCACTTGACTCTCATATTCTCCCCAGTTAATTTCAAAACACAAACTAACCACAAACTGCATTAAGGGGAGAGAAGGGAGAATGTGTAGAAAGAGAGGAGGAGCCTGCCTCCCACTGGATGCGTTGTATTGGACAGCTGCAAAACCACGATGAGGCCAGGGAACACGGATAGCACATCCCTCAGGGGAGCTTAGTATTAGGGAGGAGTGGGAGAGGCACCCATGCCAATAGAAGCTCTTTTCTGATGTTTTCTAAGCTGACCCCTGAGTTCTCTTCTCACTTCCTGGAGCTCCTCACAGGACTTCAAAGGCAGATATAGTCCTGGTGGACTGTGGTGAGCTTATACGGAAGCTCAGCCCCAGCACACTGCAAATCGGCCTTCCGCTGGAGAGAAAACCAAGACAGGCTAGTCAGCTGTTAGCTCAGAGAGAGCAACCACCAAGCACCAGGGAGAATCCAAGCTGGGTGAATGTGTGGACCTACCTTTGGCGGTGGCTTTCCCAAATTGAATGACCAGCCTTCCCTGTTTGTTTGGGACTGTCCTGGTTTTACCACTGAAAGTCGGTGTCCCAGGAAACCCCTTAGTCCTGGGCAAACTGAGATGGTGAGTTGCCCTATTACCGGACCTACGCTTTAGTAAAAGCTTCTGAATCAAGAGTTTGATTTCTTCATAGCACAGATGAGCTAGAGCCAATTATTTTGTCTCTTTGACAAGAAAGCAAAAGTCCAAGGCTTAAAAACTGGCAGATCGTAACTTACCACTAGTGATACACACCAGTATGCTAAGCAAAAGAAGCATACCACTATTCAGGATTCAAAAGCTTACACGCTGAATGATCCTATTTATATAACTTTCTGGGAAAGGCAAAACTATAGGGAAACAGATCAGTAGTTGTAAGAACTGGGACTGGGGGAAGGCGTGAGCCACATAGGGCATGTGGGAAATTTTTGGAATGATAGAGATATTCAATGTCTTTATTTCAGTAGTGGTCACACAGCCATATATACTTGCCACAATTCAGAACTGTGTAGTTAACAGGGCTTTTTTTCTGTGTGTAAATTATACCTAAATAAAGCTTTTAAAAACACTCTAGCAGTTGTGATGCTGTGGTATAAGATGAAGGATCAAGGTCAAGGTTGGTGATCACAGGTTGTAAATAGCAACTGAGTCTTGGTGTGGGTGTGTCTGCAATGGTTCTGGAGGTGTACATAGCAGAAGAGGGTGAGAAATCTCATGCCTGATGACATCCTAAATGCCAGAGACTTTTTCATTAGTCACAATCAGTGTGATAGTGGAAGCTCTCCCTTCGTTTAGAGAAAAGGGAAAGGCAGCTCCACTAAAGGCCAGGCAGCCGACGGGTCCAGGAGGATCGTGGAGTATCAGAGCATTAGACTCAGGTTCCCACCCTGGGAACTCTGCTCTACCCACACATGGATCTAATGTACTGACTTTGGCAGCCTGTCTGCAAGTCTTTTTTTTTTCCACCAATAAAGTTATTGTATTAGAACTGAGTACTCAAGTCTGTACCGTAATTATTTCCTGGTTGACTTTTTGTTTTTGGCAGTCCTGCTTGTCTGTGCTAGCTAGGATTGATTTTGAGGGGGAAGAACCCATGATTTATCTAAATAACACACCCAGTCCCATTTGATGTAAGGAGTCAGTCCTCTTATCTCTAGACAGGGAGAAGCCTTTTCATGCAAGGGCAGAATTACTAGTCATCACCGCACCGGGCCAGGGTACAGGATGTGGAAGTCCCCAAGAAGGAAGAAGTATCACTCTGGTGCTCCTAATGGAATTTTAAGATCTTGGTGGTTTTCCTATTATCTTTTTTAATCAAAGCCCATGTTGAATTTGCCTGTTCTTCAGGTGAATTTTGTCTGGCTCTGTACCCTGGGGACCTGGGTCTGTGGCTGCGTCTCTATTAAGCACAGCCTGCTGGAAGGCTGTGGAACTTCCATCTGTGAGGACCACATGGGCTGAGGTCACGTTCAACCAAGAATTATACAGGAGAATTTCACACACACACACCTCTTTTAAAATCGCAAAAACATCCAAGCCACTAGTTACCCACAAAGGCAGGTCTTTTCCACCTGTTCCAGGGTGTTCTGGAAGAATTACAGACTCATAGCCAGTGCAATCCTTAGTTCTAATTGTCTTGGCTTTGTGAGGGGAAAGCATTGATGTTAGAGAGGCAGGAAGTGTTTTTTGTGTGTATTTGAAGTGAAATTTCCTTGATGCAGGGTCAGGCCTGGCCTGTGGCTGGTCTACCTACAAAGGGTCGGGTTTGGGGCAGTCTCTAGGCCCACGTCTGCTTTGAGTGCAAGGAAGAAGCTGGGAGCTTATGAATGGGGGATTCCAGATGCTTCCTCCCCTGGGTTGCAAACCTCTGCCACCATCTCCCCTGGGCTGCCTAGGCACATGGGCATCTGTTTGGGTTTGGGGGACTGTCTTAGCCTTCCTGTTAGCCCAACAATTGGGAATCCTGCCATTTCCTTCCATCCTCCACCCCCCATTTTCCCCCCCAGTTTTTTAACACAACAGGATTTATTCATGTTCACTGTATTCAAGTCCCCAGATGGGGGGAGAAAAAAAGATTGTGTTGAATGAGCTTATTGTTTGGAGGTTTCACTGACTTCTTTTATTTCATACCCACAGTCCTAGAGAACATATTGAGCTGATTTACTAAAATTCTAATGTGGTTTTTTTGGAAGGAACTCTGCTAGGGTGCTCGGTGTCCCCAGTATCAGGGCTGGGGCCCTCTCTTCTTCATCCTTATGGTCTTGGGTCTCCTTGCAGGCAAATATTCTCTTACCATCCTAGACTCCTTATCAGCTCACAGTGGTCAACAGCCTACCACCCTTTGCATTGTCAGGACTTTTGCGGCACCCAATTCTAGCACATTCTTTGACTAAAGATGGACACCAACATTAGGTACTACAGTTAACAGAAGTCCCCTGCAGCTTCTGCTTGGCAGTTTCCTGCACACATGGGGAGAGTAAAGGATGGTGAAGTGGCCCCTGCTGCTCGAATGCCCAGTGCAGGGCAGCTGGTCATTGACAGACATGGCAGAGTTGAATTACATGTCTTTGGAATGTTTTAGAGTTGGGGTCCCTACCATTGATGTTACTGGAATTGTGGCTGAGGATCATAGCGTGCATGGAGGTCAAGCACGGTCATCTGTATGGCTGTGACACAGTTGTGCTGGGTCACTTCCAGATGTCTGGAGACCCTGGAAATCTCCTGAGAGAGCAACGGCAGGTACTTGAGCTGGGTGAGGCTCATGTCTCCCAGGAGTCAGTGGAAGCTTGTCTCTGCTTCAAGTCAGTCACATCCCAGATGTTCTGAAAGGAGCCTGGGGCAAAGCAGGAAGGGTAGATCTCAAACCACAATCACAAGTGTGAGTGATGGGTGCTTCAGGCTACCTCTTGGAGGCACACAGGTTCACACTGGCTCCTGCACCTGCATCTCTCCCTCCCTCCCTCCCTCCCTCCCTCCCTCCCTCCTTCTCTTCCCCTCTTCTTTTGTTTCCTCCTTGACTTTCTCCCACTTTTTCACTCTGTTATTCTACCACTTCCATTCAGGCCTCCAGGTCTCCTGGGTCTTGAATCCAAAGGAGGGATTCCCACTGAGAACCTGAAGCCAGAAAGACACCGAGGAGAGTCAGACCCTCCCACTCTCTCTGGCCTCTGGTGGTCTCAGGCTCTCATTTCAAATAGCTGTGGCTTGAATTCCAGGCTTCCCCCAGGAGAGGCTGGTGACCTCAGAGTCAGGGTGGTGAAACGGGCTTATTCTCAGCGACTTACTCCCTCCTAGAAGTGCAAGCCTTGATGGAATTTGTTCATTGTGCCCCCTGCTGCTTCCTCAAGCCCTAAAAGTTGTGACTTCTCATGGTCTGCTACAAAAAAAAAAAAAAAAAAGGTACCTTCCCCCATCTTCAGGTCCAGAGTTATTTGCTAACCCTGGGACTTTGCCCACAGTCCCACCTGGGATAGTGCAGGCTAGTGTCACAGTGATTAGGATCCCAGGAAAGGGCACGCTTATTCTCTTTCTGTGGACCCTTAAACAGTGCTGTGGCTCGCTGACCACCAAGGGGTGGAATCAAAATTCCTGCACCATATGGGCTCCTCCCATCACCATCCCAAGTCCCCTGGAACTGAGTATCAGAGGAGGGACTGGTGTCTGCCCAGGGGGAGCATGAGAATGTGTCCGTTGTTTGGATAAAAGTTCCAAGCATGAAGGCTCAACATTGACTAAAATAATTTTTTCCCATTGACCTCCTGGCTTCTCAGTGGGCAAGCGCCCATCTCCCGCCCATCTGAGGCTGG